TTCCTCATGAGACTCAAAATCAGGTGAAGATGTTTTGCATGTTCTGCTTCTGATTTGGAGTATATCAAAATATCATCGATGAATAYAATAACAAACTTATCAAGATATTCATTGCACACCCTGTTCATCAGGTCCATGAAGGCTACTGGTGCATTGGTTAGGCCAAAAGGCATCACTAAAAACTCATGATGTCCATATCTTGTTCTGAACGCAGTTTTAGGAACATCTTCTTCTCTGACTTTCAGTTGATGATATCCGGATCGCAGATCAATCTTTGAGAAGTAACTGGCCCCAACTAGTTGATCAAATAAATCATCAATCCTGGGTATTGGATATTTATTCTTAACTGTCACTTTGTTAAGCTCCCGATAATCTATACACATTCTCATTGACCCGTCCTTTTTAACAAATTGAACCGGAGCTCCCCAAGGTGAAGTACTTGGTCTAACAAATCCTTTATCAAGTAGATGCTTCAATTGAGTCACCAATTCTTTCAGCTCTGATGGGGCTAATCTGTATGGTGTTTTGGCTACTGGTGCTGCCCCGGGTATCAGGTCAATTTTAAGCTCGATGGCTCTGTCTGGTGGAAGACCAGACAAGCCCTTGGGAAAGACTTTTGGGTATTCTTTGACAATTGGGATCTATTCTGATTCTTTCTCTTCTCAGTTTGCATTGATAGCATAAGCCAAAAAACCCTTGACATTTCGTATTTATACACGTATGAGCTTTGAGTATAGAGAGAAGACTGGTATGATAATCTTGATAATCACTACCTATGATGATTGTTCCTCTGCCTGGCAATTTAATTTCAATCTTCTTTTGGTTACATAAAATAGCTGCCTGATTTTTGGCTAACCAACTACATCGAATTCCTTCATCGGCATAGGGAATAATTTAATAGGCAACTCACAACCCTCGATGGAAATGGTGTATTTATCGAACACATAAGCAACAATTTCTTGACTATTAGCGGTGTCGACCACCAACTTTTTGTCAAGTGAAATAGAAATTAATCATGCAATTTCAGCAAAAGTAGGGGATACGAATGAAAAGTTCGCACCCGAATCAAATAGCACTTTAGCATATACGGAGTTGATGGAATAAGTACCTGTTACCATGTCTGGAACTACCTCTGCCTCATTTTTAGTCATTTGGAAGGATCGTCCTTGCGCCCTTCCTAGCCCTCCTCTATTCATACTTGGTCTCCCTCGACTACCCGTTGTACTATTTCCCAAACTTAGTTGTGGATTTTTGAGTTGTGGGCATTTGTCTTTAAAATGATCCGGGGAATTGCAGTTRAAACATCTTTTATTCATCGGACAGAATCTTGATGAATGTCCAATCTCACCACAATTGACGCATTTCATCGGTTCTGATTTGCATTCTCCTTTATGATATTGTCGATACCTAGGACAGACCTTCTTCATCGACCTCTGCATTGGTTTCTTGTTGAACTTAAAGGACTTGGATCCTCGATATACTGTTGAAGATCCTTCCCACTTCCTCTTTTCCATTTGTTTTCCTTCATCGCTTCTATTTTTGTTCCTTTCTGTGACTTCAGTTGCATCGACTGCCAATGGAAAAGTGGTTGGGTTCATTGCTATAACAAATTCTCTAATTGARKGTTTCAAACCCCAGATATATCTCTCAACTTTTCTAGCTTCTGTGGATATGTAATGCTCAGCAAATCTAGAATACTCAATGTATTTTTCTGTGTATTCTCTAACTGATCCAGAGCTTTGTTCCAACTTCAAGAAATCCTCTTCCATTTGTCTAACTGCAGCCTTGGGACAAAATTGTTCTTTGAATCTATTCACAAATTCTGCCCATGACAAGGTTTCCAAAACATCCACTCTTCCAAGAGATTCTATTTCCCACCAATACAAAGAATTAGACTTTAGAACTGATACAGCAAACCTGACTTTGTCGGCTTCTGGACAACGTATAGTATTGAATACTGATTCAATCTCTTTTATCCAACACATAGCTTTAACTGAATCTCGCTCACCCGAAAAAGCTGGTGGTTTGCATGTTAAAAACATTTTAATATCACCTCCTCTTGTGCTTGGTGTTGGTATGGAAGAATTTATCTCTACTCGCTCTATTTCCACCCTCGAAGGCATTCTCAATATTGATGTTAAGGTTTCTCTTAACTTTCCCATTTCTTCAGCCAACATATCTCTAGTTACAAAATCTGGTTGTGGTGTTGGTTCCGGATTGTTATTCCCAGAGTTAGATTCTGCTTGATTAACATAACCTTGTGATTGATAATTTCTTTCCCTTATTTGATTTCTCCCTCTTCCTCTGCCTCTACCTCCTGAGGTATTAATAGGGGCTTCAATGGGAGAATTTTCTGCCTCACTAAGATCAAGATGGGCTAGTGTTGGTGATCTTCTGGACCGGCTTGTCATTTGTAGATTTCATGATTAAATAACACATTTTCACATTCCCAAATACAATAAAGTGTCCAAGTTAAGATATGTACCTGTAGATTCAAAATTACATTGGCCAGATGTAATCCGAATGTACCTTACACACTGAACTCTTAACTTATCATATTTATTTCATTGGTTCTAACTATGTCCGGGACCCTAATATGCAATAGAATAGTTTAAGTCTAGGCATCATCATGCAATTGATCACCCAAATCACTTAAACATAGGATCTGATACCAAAGAAATTAAAAGAAATTAAAATCTCTTCCTGTTACCATTTCAGCGGGCTTATAGTCCTTACAGAAAGAAGACACTTGATTGCTAACAACTAACAAATTACATAATTTCAATCCCATTCATGATCCCCCGAGAGAAATATTGAACAAAAAACAGAAGATACGGAGAAATAGATTCAGCTCCGCTCACACTCACACGCACAAGAAGTATTGCACATAAGTTATTCCTCAAGCAACTATAATTAGTCCAATTTCAACATGTATAAACCAAACTACCATAAATCAAGTAATACAAACAAGAAAAACCAACATATGATTCAAGAAACAACATGCAATGGGAAATCATACCTAAATACAGTTTTTTGTTGTCAATCTCTAGTTGGGCGCTAAGATGGAGAAAGCGACACATATATTGAATCCAGAAAGCTTGGGATCTTTGCTCTTTTACCTTTGAAACCTGTTGATCCACAAAATTAAAAACCATTTGAGATGATAATTTTACACAATTGAAAGACAAAGTGAGAAAAATGAATCACCATGTAGTTTTTGGACAAAAATCGAGATGTTGTGTTAAAGACAAAGCCGAGATGATGTGTGAAAGGCAGAAATCGAGAACTACAATGATGAGAAGATGAAGTCGACTACCTGTGAAGAAGACGAGATTATATGGATTGAGGCGTCAATTACCTGTGAGAAGGCCAGATGAAGTCAATCGATAATGTATGATGGTGTGAGGTAAGGAGCGTGAATCGATGGAAGAAGGAGGCGGGTTAGGGCAATCAGGTTTATTTTGAAATTTTGAGCTCAATTCTATGGCGTAATTAATAAACCAATTTGAGTACCACAATCTAATCATGTTTTATTATATACATTTATTTGTACGCTGTAATTTATTTAGTTATGATATTTTTTAAAATTAAATACGTAATTAAAATTTTAATAATAAAATATTAAACTCATAGTTACAAGAATTGTTGTTACAATTTTATTTTATTTATAATATTTTACCTTATAGGATGCATTTTAGAAAATGTCTTGTTTAGTTAGTGACTATTATTTTTGGTCACTAATCATTTCAAATTAGTGACCACTAATTTTTTGTTGCTAAAACTTTCAACTTAGTGACTATCATTCCTAAATAACGCCAACTAGTTAGTCACCATTATTTTGGTAACAAATCATTTCAAACTTGTGACAACTTATTTTTTTTGTCACTAAAACATCCAACTTAGTAACCACTATTGTTTGTTACTAACATTCCTAAGTATAACCAATTAGTTAGTGACCACTATTTTTGGTCACTAATCATTTCCATTTAGTGACCACTATTTTCGGTCACTAAACTACCAACTTATTGACCACTATTTTTGTCACTAACATTTAAAAGTAACATCAACTAGTTAGGTACCACTATTTTGGTAACTAATCATTTCAAATTTGTGACTATTTTGTTTTTTGTCACTAAAACGTTCAACTTAAAGACCATGTTCTTTTGGTCACCAAACTTTTTAACTCAGTGACCATTATTTTGGTCATTAAACGCATGAATTTATAAAGTTATGACGAAAAATATGGTCGTTACAAATTTAGTCATTAAAATAGATTGATATGAAAAATCACTTTTTTGCATTATCAGCTTATTACTTTTTTGTACCGCTATAAGCTAATCCAAACACTCTTTACAAAACTCCGTTTTGATACCACGTAAGTTAATAAGCACTTTTACAAAAAAGAACATAAGTTATTTTAAATAAGCAATCCCAAACACCCCTTTAACGACTGCATTTACTTTTTGTTATTAAAGTTCATAATAGTGACCACAAATTAGTGCAACCTTTCTCATCGTCACTACCATCACAGTAGTGACCAAAATATAAGTAATCAGTAAAAGTTTGGTCACTAATGAAGCTTTTTCTTATAGTGAAAATGAGAAAGATATCTTTTAGCTTAGAAGATGGTCCAATTAAAGCCACTTAAGTTTGCTGTATTTTTACAACAAATCATCTTCTCTTACTCTTTATTTTGATTTCATCTTCCTTTATTTCATCATGGTTTTCACATTGGATTACTATTTGTAATTGTTGTAGGTTGGGGAGAATACGAGATAAATATGTTATAAGAGGCATAAAAAAACAAATCAACTGAAACTTATGAAAAACCTATCTAAAATAGTTTTCGAAACGTTATCTTATAAATTAGTTTATGGTTGCCAAAAAATAGTATGTTCTCCGAAGACCCAAGTATAGTTTTTTGTCGAAAACCAACAAACACTAGTTTATAAATATTTAAAAGCTATTCCTGAAATAACAATGACAGTTAGGACTTGTCCACTGTCCGTTGGATTAAATATCATCCGGGACTATATCCAATGAATAATTGTTACCCCTAACAAGTTGACATAAATATTTATCAAAAGCAAAAACTACAGCTAACAACTCTTTCTAATATTTCCAGTCTCCGGTAAGCTTAAAAAACACGTTTAGACGAACCGAACATCTGATTGAGGACGATGATAAGAGCCATAGAGACAGCTGGATCGATTGAAGGTTGCATAACCAAACGGAAAACATCTACGCCAAGAGCAACAGTACCTCCCTTGGCTTCCTTGCTCCTGATCTCAGCAACATTCCGTCGCATATCATCATATACGATGCAACACCTTTGAGCATATGATCCATCGATCTTATACATCGGGATTCTCGTGTTGTTATTCTTTGACGATCCTTCTTTGCAAACGTAAGCTAGGGACTTGGTGTTGAAAATGTTCATGTGTTTCGTGACCGAAAACCGTGGAACAAGCGTTGTTTCTCCATCATACACTTGCCAGGTGTCCGAAAGACTTWTCCTCTGGTAATAACAAAATATTTGGTTAACCAATATGGAATCCAATTAACTTCGAATGAATTTGTGTCTATAAATCAAAATTTGATGAACATGCATGATGTGATATACGTACCTTGCGGCGAATAGTGAGGACAGAGCGGCCGAACGCATCCATGAGAACAATTTCACCKTTACCTCCGGTGACATAGTTGTCTACTCGAAATACAAGATTGCCATTGGAGTCGAACACTGTAAATCCATCGCAATTGAAGAGTAGAGACTTCTTCCAAACAGTGAAGATCACCGGATTCTTACTGGCAGCAGAGGATTTGGGTGGCGAAACAGTAACCGAAGTGATGGGAGTGGGGTACACCTTTGTCATGATGAACTGAAGCACAAGAAATTGTATGGCTTACAAAATTTGGTGGATATGATGATGAGAGAGGAGGGATGTTGCTGTCTTATATAGTTKCCACTCAGATGAAGAATATATCCCATCCAAAAAACATGATATTCTACTTAAAGAACAATTAGGGTATATATAGGCACGTGTTTCTAAATTATTTACAACATATGTTTCAATAATATTTCGTTTTGATGGTAATTATTATGTTTCTTTTTCGTTTAAACGTTATTTATTCCATTGGTGGAAAAATAAATATTCCAAACTTATATGAATTTTGCTTTAGCTTGATTTTGCTCAAATTCTAGAATAAAACCAAACCCTGGGATGCTTGATTCATATAATGGAATTTGGTAGAATCAGAATCCATCAAACAAGTTTCACTTTGAAGAAACTAAATTGGAATTTGATTAAATTTGATCACGTTTGTGGTTGATTATAAATTGGAATGAAATTTCATAAAAGAAATTAAATCTGCATATGTTGAGGGTGGGAGCGGCTGCGATTACAACAACAGTGGCGTGGTGGGGTCAGTGGTGGCGGTTGTGACGACCATAGTAGTGGGATGGTGGTGTTGGTTAAAGTGGATGCAAAAAGTTAGTTTTGTCTTTTTTAAAACCTAATTATAATATTCGCCACAAAATAGATTTCAAATCCTTCACTTATGTCAAGGAATGAACAATCAATTAACAGTATGATTAAATAATGGAATTCAATATGCAAACTTAACATCATTAAGGACATTGAAAAAAAAAATTGTCATTTCAATTCCAATAAATTCCTTCGAATTCTACGGACTAACCAGCCCCAATATCATGACCATGTCTTGAGTATATAATTGTACGGCAATGGGATTAGTTCAATGATGTAGGATCTAAGAGATGACTGGCGGTTTTGTAGAATGTAGGTGCAACGGAAACCAAGGTCTTGTCATTTTGTAAAAATTTAACTTTAAAAGCGGACAACTGAAATCATACGGTGGTTATGTTTGAACAACATCCATGTGCCTATCACTGTCACTACATTTGTAATCATGAATAGTTGAACACTATGGTTTATTTCAAAACATATGGTCAGTTTATGATGCTTGGTATTGTGAAAGTCTGTTTATCATAAAAGTTAAACAGTTTTGCTTGGGGATAATAGTTATGGAAAATGAAAGTTGAGGAATATTGTTCCACATTTATGTTGTTACGGTGGGTTTTATGGTAGCGTTTAGATTATATCTTGTTGAACATTTTCAAAATTTGTATTTCATCGTAGTTATCGATCGCGAAGGTTTATTTTGATCTTGAGATATCTGTATTTATATTTGGAGATTATGATATTGTGGGTAGCTTACTTGGTATGGAATTGAGTTAAATTGCTTTTCATTGGTCATCGATTCAAGTCTCAATCATTGGTCATTAAAGAAGCTTCATGGTCCAATGAAATTAGTTGAGGTACGTACAAATTAGTCTGAACACCAGATGTTTTATTTATGTTTGCAATAATTATGTTTCTTTTCTTTTCAAAATTTATTCATTTTTAGAAGAAAAAAGATACAACAAAGTAGATTATACACAAATGAGTGTAAACAGGTTTGTTTAATGCGACCTCGTTTGAAATCACAAATTTCACCGTCCCTAATAACTTTTATATTATTAAATCTTTTACGAGCGCATCTTTTTTATGACTTTTTATTAGACATTTCAACAGATAATATTATACAAAAAATACTAAATGGACTATCTATTTAAAAATATGTTTTAAAAACATTTTGGGACGTGTGAAAGCATGCCATCAAATTATTGTAACACATTTATATATGAGATTATAATTGTTTTGTCATATATAGACAAGTCCTGTAAATCAGTCTATGAATATATTTAAACATATTTTATGTCACACCTCGTTAAAGCATAAACACGAGATGTAACAGGTAAGCGAGTCACAGCAGCAGATAATAAATAACACCATTCAAGTTTTACAAAAGTTCGAATTTAACATCCATAACCAAGTCCTATAATACTTCCTTTACAAAAACTTCAAAAATGAACTTGATCGGTATCGCCACATATATGCTCCAAAAACTTCATTTCTTACTTAAATCCTAAAAAGCATGAAACATAAAACAAGTCAACTACAAAGAGTTGGTGAGTTCATGGGTTTTCATATGCACAAAACATTACAATGCATAAATCATTTCTTGCAAACCTATACATAACTTTTGCACATAATAAATGTAAATCTACCATGATGTTTAAAAACTTGAGACGCTACTGAGCCTTTCTTGACCAATGTGCCCCATTATTTTATGAACGACCAAAAGTAGTCCGTACACTCACTTAGGTCCCACAATTCATAATAGTACTAATTCAGCGGTGGTCCAAATTCCACATGATTAGATTAATGTTAGCTTTATTTTGAGGCTAATAATTAACTTGAAAAAGTTTCATGAAACAATCCAAAGCTAGAAGACGAATTGAAGAAGTATCTGCGCCAAAACGTCTAAGTCTAGAAGACCAGCCTCTATGCTAAAGAGTCACGGAGACCAGAGCTGCTTTCAAAGACTACAGAGCTTCTGTGGCAACCAGAGCCTCTGCAAGGCTCTGTGAGGACCAGAGTTCTTGGACTCTAAGTTCCCTGATCCAGAGCCCCTCTGTGAAGACCAGAGCTT